GCCACGTGTTCAGACGGAGTCTTCACATCGTTGTCACATTCCTTCTACAGCTTCGCCGAAGAAAGGCAGTTTGTTAAGGCCGGATTGTGTCCGTTATCTGTGGGTATGGGTCACTGAGGCCACAGGTAGTCAGAACCAAAGTGGTTTCCCTTCTTCTGTCTCTCTTCCCAGCAAGAAAGTCACTGTGCGTATCCCAGAGCCACACTTTACAAACGCAGTCGTCCCAAAGGTAGCTTTTGACAGGAGGGTCTGGAATATGCCGCCCAGAAGTAAGGGGAGCCTTCTGTGTAAACGTTATGGGAATTTTATATGATTTACGTATGGTATTTATATATTTGTATATGGTATAAATTTTATGGGAAGAAGTATCCACACGCATTACGGAAAGTAGGTATCGCTCTGGACAAAAACTAACAAGTGGTTAAATGTTCAGATACATCAGCCGGTGCCGAAATCCGCGAGCTTGAGGGATTACATACACATCGTCCAGTCCTTACCTGACGACGACACGCCTGGGCTCTTGGGACTGCACCCAGAGGCCATAAGGGGTGGCAGAGAGATCCAGGGCCGGCACCTTGTGGACAGTCTCATTACCATGCAACCCGGGACCAGCGCCGATCTCGCGGTCCGGTAAGAACTCACTGGCAACAGTCGTTGGTCGGGAATTATTAAATATTCATATTAAATAATTAAGTGTTAAGTGAATATTTAGGAATTTGAAGAGCTACAGTGCGGAACTTGCAGACAAATAAGTCTAAGATATAGTGGGGGTGCCCAGGCGGCTCAGTTGGTTAAGCGTCCAGTTCTTGGTTTTGGCTCAAGTCATGATTTCGCGTTTCGTGAGATCGAGCCCCGTGTGGGGCTCTGTGGTGACAGCGTGGAGCCTGCCTGGGATTCTCTCTCTGTCTCTCTCTCTCTCTGCCCCTCCCCCACTCATGCATGCGCAGGCTCTCTCTCTCTCCCTCTCTCAAAGTAAACTTTAAAATAAAGTGCAACTGGGGCGCCTGGGTGGCGCAGTCGGCTAAGCGTCCGACTTCAGCCAGGTCACGATCTCGCGGTCCGTGAGTTCGAGCCCCGCGTCAGGCTCTGGGCTGATGGCTCAGAGCCTGGAGCCTGTTTCCGATTCTGTGTCTCCCTCTCTCTCTGCCCCTCCCCCGTTCATGCTCTGTCTCTCTCTGTCCCAAAAATAAATAAAAAACGTTGAAAAAAAAAAAATTTTAAAAAAAAAAATAAAATAAAATAAAGTGCAAAATACAAACAATCCGAACAGAAACTAAAGTGTAAGAGGACAGTATGATGAAGAGGGCCAACGATACCACAGTCACAGGGCCTCAACACCCTTACTCTGCTTATCCATAAACATAGAATGCCTGTTTCCCCGTCAAGGCCATTGTGAGCTTTAAAAGCTGTAACAGATGGGGGCACCTGGGTGGCTCAGTCGGTGAAGTGCCCCACTTCGGCTCAGGTCATGATCTCACGGCTCGTGCGTTCAAGCCCCACATCAGGCTCTGCACTTCGGATTCTGTGTCTCCCTCTCTCTCTGCCCCTCCCCTGCTCATGCTCTGTCTCTCTCTCTCTCTCTCTCTCTCAAAAATAAACAAACATTAAAAAGCTATAACAGACGTAACCCAAATTCTCAAGCCTCCGCAGCCTGTAACTAGAAGACAAGGTCACGTTTGTCAAGGCCACAGCTACGTGGTGTGAGCTCAGTGGCCCCACTGCCTCCCCAGCAAAGTGTGTTCCTGAGGTTCCCAGACGTCCTCTCGGGTGCTCGTTCACACCGCTGAGGACGCAGGTGGCCCACGCAGGCCTCGCCTCCCTCTTCCCTCGCTGAGTTCAAATCCCAGTTCCACCACCTGACTTTGCAGACTTGGGGACGTCACTTAAGTCTTCAAGTTCATCACGTTCGCATCTGAGATAATAACCGTGCCTACCTGTGGGGCTGTTCTCAGAATACGAGTTCCTCAGGTTAAGGGCAGCTTAAAAACCTAATTTTTCAATGTGTAAGTCTTACAGATTTTAACAATAATTTTTTTTTAATTTTTTTTTCAACGTTTTTTATTTATTTTTGGGACAGAGAGAAACAGAGCATGAACGGGGGAGGGGCAGAGAGAGAGGGAGACACAGAATCGGAAACAGGCTCCAGGCTCTGAGCCATCAGCCCAGAGCCCGACGCGGGGCTCGAACTCACGGACCGCGAGATCGTGACCTGGCTGAAGTCGGACGCTTAACCGACTGCGCCACCCAGGCGCCCCTTAACAATAATTTTTAAAAGGTCTTTGAATAGCGTTTGGTTATCTACTGACGTAAACGCTTTCAAGTATAATAATATTCATTACAGAGTTAATGTACTTCAGCTACCTCACCGCCAAACCTTCTTCAAATCTTGCAACAATTCTTATAAATCTAATAATTAAACAAATACGTGGGATCTTAAATTCTCTTATGTCTTCAAATATATCAGCTTAGCTGGATTTCAACTCAAAATCATAAACTGAAACCAATTTCCCCACTTCCTGTTGTAAATAAGAGTCCCAAAGCTGACCTTCAGGTGTTAAGAGCCCCAAATCTCTTAAATATCATAAATACTGAAAATCCCAACAGGTACAGATTCCTCACCACGAAAGTACCGTCACTGTGGTTTTGATTCTGTTAATCCTGTCTACAGCAACTTCTCAGTCTTCCCCGGGACCAGTGGCGCCACTGTGCGTGACGTGGGAGTTTTGCCTTCTTGGTGCTTCAGGTTTGGGGGAAAACAAGTAAATAAACTGAAACCGAAAGTTAAACCACAACACTAGCGGATGCTTGTTGGGAACACGCATCGGATGCCTTGAACCCCGATCATACTCGTCGTTAAGGTCATCGCAACTCCAACCCCCGGTGATGGTGACGTTGCCCACGTCCCCAGGATCCGAGTCCACGTTCCCCGAGGCTGTTAGTCTGTGGGCTCACAGATCGGGTTTAGGGCCCTCGTGCTCTGCAGGAGCGCCAGCGGACCTGACCACCTGAGTCCTCAGTCTTGTCCTTGCCGCTGGTGCACGGGTGGCCCCGCTCTAGGTAATCCCCCTGTGACGTCACCACAAGGCGTCTGGCTCTATAAAAGCTGGGCTGCGGCAAGGGCTTTGTGGGGGATGGGCGTGTGCGGCCAGGACCTTCTGCGCACAGGCGCCCCCGATGGTAAGTTCCCCCGAGTAAAACTGTAAGTGGTCCTCTTAGTCTGGAGGACACGTCTCCCTCCTCCACCTCCTAACAGGCTCCTAAGATACACATGTCTTTTTTATATTTTTTTTCCACTCAGTTCTAAAACCTCTGAACCTATTGGAACTCTGTACGCTTTGGTCTTCTCGTCTCTTTGTTGTTGTTTAGTTGTTGTTTTTCTTGAGAGAGACAGAAACCGAATGAGAAGGGGAGGAGCAGAGAGAGAGAGAGAGAGAGAGAGAGAGAGAGAGAGAGACTCCCAAGCAGGCTCCATGCTGTCAGCACAGAGCCCAACGCAGGGCTCGAACCCATAAAACTGTGAGATCATGACCCGAGCTGAAACCGAGAGTCGGACACTCAGGCGACCGTGCCACCCAGGCGCCCCTTCCTGTCTCTGGACCACGAAACTCATATTAAAATAGTATCTGATTGGATCCTCACTGTGGCTTTGGCTGACCATCTGGTGCTCTCTTCCAAGGTCATTGCACTGACACAAAACAGGTGTAACCGAGCCCTCCCCCCACCGACGGAGTGAACGCGTCCTACCTTCTACGTGCAGGAAAGCTGCACACACAGCGAAAGAGGAGTGGCTACTTAGAAGTCTTCCCGTGTGCCCCCAGAATATCAGGTTCAATTCCCTGCGCGTCCTGCGCTCGTAAATACTGACAGCTGTGCCTCCCGCCTTCAACAAATTCGCCAGTAAGAAATGGGTTATGGGGCTGCTGTTCGCAAGCATGTTGAGTGTGTTTATCCGTGCCCCTCGGGCATTCTGGGAGGCTGGGATGGCTGCCATTATGCTGCCTGTGCTCAAAACATACTAGAAACTTCTCTGCATGACTAGATCTAAAAGATCCGTCCCACTTGACTTAACGCCCTCAGGGGTAGCAAAGAGTTGCCCTTTGAAGATGTGTGCTTTTTGAAGTCTTTTGAATCATCAGAAGCCACCTTGGATGAATGCCACTGAGTAACCTTGCTTTAAAGTCACCGCCTAAGTGTGAAAACAAAATGGGAAAACCTCCTACTTGGCGTGAGGGGTGAGCGGACGCAGAAGCAGTGCACTGAGCGTGGCTGTGGCTTCCAGGCTGTCGCTCACCGTGCAGGACGACACCCTGGCTGTGTGAGACCTGGGTGACGGCTGAAACCAGCCCCTGCCAGCAGTTAGAGTAACAGCACGAGCTCAGGGGAGCGTTAGTGCTTAGAGCTCGTCCAGCTTTCGCGCTCTGCCCCGCCTGGTCCAGGCCTGTGCCCCCACGGGCCGCCCAGCGTCCCCGAGGAATCTGACACGCGGTTGGTGGCAAGCACACGCTGTCGGGTTGCCGCCTGCGCCTTCATTTCGGTATTGACACTTCACGCAGATGCGTTCCGACGATGAATTGTCGACAAAGAAATCTTAAGAACCCTTTAAAAATACATATTTTCTTGTAAACGTCTAAAGTGCAGGGGCGCCTAGGTGGCTCAGTCAGTTAAGTGTCTTTTTTTTTTTTTTTTAATGTTTATTTTTGAGAGAGAGAGACAGAGCATGAGCAGGGGAGGGGCAGAGAGAGAGGGAGACACAGAATCCGAAGCAGGCTCCAGGCTCCGAGCTGTCAGCACAGAGCCTGACACGGGGCTCAAACCCACAGACTATGAGATCATGACCTGAGCTGAAGCTGGACGTTTAACCAACTGAGCCACCCTGGTGCCCCTTAAGTGTCTGACTCTTGATCTCAGGGTCGTGGGTTCAAGTCCCGCATTGGGCTCCACACTCCTTGTGGAGCCTACTAGAATGAAAAAAAAAGGTTAAATTATAAATAAAATAAAAATTTCTCGGGAAGCAGGGCAAGGGGCCAGTTTTATCCCGACCGTTGATTTCAGCTCGGGTCGTGATCTCACGGTTGATGAGGTCGAGCCCCGCGCCGGCTCCACGGCCGGCCGCTTCCTCATCTGTAAGATGCACAGACTCCGTCGTGTGCCTAGTCGCGTGCGGCTTGGCCCGGGCCTGGACAGCGGGCTGTCCTGGGTCACACAGATCCGCATCTCTCCGTGTCCTTTGTAGTCCCGAGCAGAGTAACGACAAACTGCTGATGGAAATCCTGTCTGACCTGCTACAGCGGCTGCCGAGGTCTGTGGAGAAGGAAGAATGTGCTGGAACACCCAGCACCTTGAAGTGCATCATGTCCAGCCCCCTCTGGGAGTCTCTCTGTAAGAGCATCCAAGGTAGGCACAGGACGTGCGTCCTCGGGGAAGGACTCTGGCCCCAAGGGGAAGGGGTGGGGGTCCCCCAAGACCCCACAGAAGCAGCCAGGCCGAGTGAGGTAGGCAGTGCGGTCTCTACGCCCCCCCTTCCCACTCTCCAAGCTGAGAGACCACCCCCTCCCCCTCTCCAAGCTTGGGGCAGAGAAGGAAAGGGTGCTGTAGCTTTGTCTTCCTTTCTGGTTTTGTTGGGGCAGGGGGGTAGGGGGTGGGTGGCTGGGAGACTAAAAGTGAAGAAATATGCTTGTAGCAAAGCAGGAAGGAGCCGCCCTGCCTGAGGTTATAGAGCAGCTGGGGGGGGCGGGGTCGTCCCTGCCCCCCCCCCCGACCTGCCTGCGGAGCACGAGGAACGTGGACCCTCTGACCGGCGGCCCCCGCTCCGAGGGCTCTGGAAAGGGGGCAGGCCCAGGGGTGACAGGGCACGCAGCCCCGGGGGCCAGCGTCCGGGCCGTGGCAAATGACCCAGTTAACTTCTCAACATCCACATCTCAACCGTTTATTTTTGAAAATTTTTTAAATATTTATTTATTTGGGGGAGAGCACAAGTAGGGGAGGGACAGAGAGACGGGGACAGAGGATCTGAGGCGGGCTCTGAGCCGACGGCACAGAGCCCGATGCCAGGCTTGACCCCACAACCGGCACAGACCCCGAGGTCAGGCTTGACCCCCCCCAAACCGCGAGATCATGACCTGAGCCAGTCAGACGCTCAACCAGCTGGGCCACCCAGGCGCCCCTATACCTTACCCCTTTAAAGAAAGTTCGTCGGGAACCTAATGCTGAGCGGTAGCCTGTGACATCGGTGCTGTTGTGGAGTCGGAACCACGGTCAGCACCCTAGGGCTGTGGCCAGGTCCAGCCACCGTTCATTCCTGTGCAGCCTGAAAGATAAAAGGCGTCTCACATTCTTTACTGGTTGGAAAAAACCAAAAGAGTATTTTAGGACCCATAAATATATGAAATATGAACGCGAGGGCTGCTGCACAAATAAAACTTTATTGGCAAACGGCCAAGCTTATCGGTTTTGTGCGTCTGCGCCTGCGTTCGCACCACGGAAGCAGAGCCCAGCAGTCGTGACACAGACGGGGTGGCCACGGAGCCTGAAGTGATTCCTGATTTTCTGCAGAAAGTGTGTTGCGACCCCTGGTCTTGACACATGAAGTTCCTTCCATTTCCAAAGCCTGTGTTTCTCCTTTTATCTGAAAAATAACCTAATGTTCTGTCTTTCTCGATCCAGGCTATGATCCCCTCATCCACTGTGTCCTGCTAACCTTTCTGAGCCAAGAAATCGAACGATTTGATAAGTTCTTATTTGTTGTGCATGAATCTTTGAAAGGCCTTCAACTTGCGATAAAAGGAAAAACCATCCTCACCCAAGAACTGGAGGAAATGTATGAGTCTTTTCTCAATGGAAGAGTGCCTACGCTGTGGCAGGTGAGAGCTGTCACGCTACCCTGTTAACTGCTGAGCCGTAAGCGTGGGGTGCGGGCAGGGGGCGGGGGGCGTTCACTGTGGCACCTGATGAAGTATTAAGTATTATTGAAAGATGCTGACGTACGTTGGGTGTGAGCATGTATTAATAAAACCTCTTAGAGGGCAATCTGGCAATTCCACTCAGATAAATTTAAGATGTGTTGTTAATTTTAAGTTTCAGAAAATGATGTCATTTTTAGAGATTATAAAAACCTATATACTAATGTGTGCATACATATGCTTATAAAAACGCATCTATGCTTTAGATTCAAGAACCCCCAACCGAAAGTCTTGGAAGAAAATGCACAACTCTTCCCAGTGGTGGCCTTAAATGAGGGAGACTGGAGGGTCTCGTGGGTGGGAAAGAGGCTTTAACTTTACATTTTACGTATCCTTGTATCTTATTGTACGGTTTTGATTTTTTTTTTTTATCACATTCGTGTCTTTTTAAGTTTTTATTCCGTTATAACTGACCTACAGGGTTAGATTAGCTTCAGGTGTACAGGACAGTGATTGAACACGCGTATTCACTACTCTGTGCTCATCACGACAAGGGTGCCCCTTAATTTATCACCATCACCTATTTCACCCATCCCCCCCCCGCCACCTCCCCTCTGGTGACCAGCAGTGTGTTCTCTGTAAGTTAAGAGTCTGTTTTTTGATTTGTCTCTTTTTTTGCTTTGTTTCTTAAATTCCACATTTGAGTGAAACCATATGGTATTTGCCTTTCTCCGTCTGTTCTTTCGCTTAGCATGATACCCTCTAGACCCATCCACGTTGTAGCAAATGGCAGGATTTCATTCTCTGCTATGGAGGACTGCTATGCCGTCGCGTACGTATGCCTCGTTGTCTGTCCACTTGTCTATCGATGGACTTGGGTTGTCTCCACCCTTGGCTACCGTAAATAGTGCTGCAGTAAACATCAGGGTGCACGTATCTTTTCGAATCAGTGTTTTTAGTTTCTTTGGGTAAATACCCAGTAGTGGAATTACTGATCATATGGTGACTCTATTTTTAATGCTTTGAGGAAACTTCATACTGTTTTCCAAGTGGCTGCACCAGTGTGCATTCCCACCAATAATGCAAGAGTGTTCCCCTTTCTCCACATCTTGGTCAATATTTGTTGTTTCTTATGTTGTTGACTTGAGCCATTCTGACAGGTGTGAGGTGGTATCTCATCGTGGTTCTGATTTGCATTTCCCGGATGATGAGTGACACTGAGCATCTCTTCATGTGTCTGTTGGCCATCTGGATGTCTTCTTTGGGAAAATGTCCATTCGTGTTTTCTGCCCATTTTTAAATTGGGTTATTTTTTGGTGTTGAGTTGTATAAGTTCTTTATATATTTTGGGTACTAACCTTTTATCAGATCTGTCATTTGCAAGTATCTTCTCACATTCAGTAGTTGTCTTTTAGTCTCGTTGATTGTTTCCTTTGCTGTACAGAAGCTTTTTATTTTGATTCAGTCCCAATAGTTTATTTTTCTTTTGTTTCCCTTTTCCCAGGAGACATGTCTAGAAAAACATTGCTACAGCCAATGTCAGAGGCATTACTGTCTGTGCTGTCTTCGAGGATTTTATGGTTTCAGGTCTCACATTTGGGTCTTTAATCTATTTTGACTGTCATTTTTGTGCGTGGTGTAAGAAAGTGGTTCAGTTTTATTCTTTTGCTTGTAACTGTCCAATTTTCCCAGCACCATTTGTTGAAGAGACTGTCTTTGTCCCATTGCATATTCTTTCTCTTTTGTTGAAGATTAATTGACCAGATAATTGTGGTTTCACTTCTGGGCTCTCTATTCTGTTCAGTTGATCTGTGTGTCTGTTTGTCTGTAATACCATCCTGTTTTGATTACTACAACTTTGTTGTAGGTCTTGAAATCTGGGATTGTGACACCTACACTTTTAGTCTTCTTTTTCAAGATTTCTTTGGCTATTTGGAGTCTTTTGTGGTTCCATACAAATTTTAGGATCGCTTGTTCTAGTTGTGTGAAAAATGCTATTGGTATTTTCATAGGGATTGCATTAAATATGTAGATTGTTTTGGGTAGTATTGTTAAATATTTTAACAATATTTATTCTCCCAATCCATGAGCATAGAATATCTTTCCATTTGTTTGTGTCATCTTTAATTTCTTTCATCAGTGTTTTATAGTTTCCAGAATATAGGTCTTTCAGTCCTAAACTCTTTAGTCAAGTTTATTCCTAGGTATTTTATTATTTTTGGTGCAATTGCAAATGAGACTGTTTTCTTAATTTCTCTCTCTGTTGCTTTATTATTAGTGTATAAAAATGCACTGGATTTCTGTATGTTGATTTTGTATCCTACAACTTTACTGAATTCATGTATTAGTTGTAGAATTTTTTTGGTGGAATCTTTCGGGTTTTCTATCTACAGTGTCATGTCACCTATAAGTAGTAAATTTTTACTTCTTCTTCACCAATTTAGATGCCTTTCATTCTTGTCTGATTGCTGTGGACTTTCAATACTATGTTGAATACAAGTGCTGAGAGTGGACATCCTTGTCTTGTTCTTGATCTCAGGAGAAAAGTTCTGTTTTCCCCATGAAAGAAGCGATGTTTGCTGTGGGTTTTTCATATATGCCCTTTATTATGTTGAGATACCTTCCCTCTAAACCTACTTTGTTGAGTGTTTTTATCATGAATGGATGTTGTACTTTGTCAAATGCTGTTTATGCATCTATTGAAAGGATCATATGGTTTTTATCCTTTCTCTTATTGATGTGATGTATCATGTAGATTGATTTGTAAATATTAAATCACCCTTCCATCCCAGAGATAAACCCCACTTGATCGTGGTGGATAATTTTTTTACTGTATTGTTGAATTCAGTTTGCTAGTGCTTTGGTCAGGATTTTACATCTGTGTTCATCATGGATATTGGCCCGAGTTCTTTTTTTTTGTAGTGTCTTTTTCTGGTTTTCTGTATCAGGGTAATGCTGGCCCCATAGAATGAATTTGGAAGCTTTCCTTCCTCTTCTATTTTTGGAATAGTTTGAGAAGAACAGGTATTAACTCTTCTTTAAATGTTTGGTAGAATTAGGGGCGCCTGGGTGGCTCAGTATGTTAAGCGTCCGACTTCAGCTTAGGTCACGATCTTGTAGTTCATGACTTTGAGCCCCACATCAGGCTCTGTGGTGACAGCTCAGAGCCTGGGGCCTGCTTTGGATTCTGTGTCTCCCTTTCTCTCTATCCCTCCCCCACTCATGCTTTGTCTCTCAAAAATAAGTAAACATTTTTAAAAAATTAAATGGCGCGCCTGGGTGGCTAAGTTAAGTGACTGACTTCGGCTCAGGTCAGGATCGCATGGTTGTGAGTTCGAGCCCCATGTCGGGCTCTGTGCTGACAGCTCGGAGCCTAGAGCCTGCCCCAGGTTCTGTGTCTCCCTCTCTCTCTGCCCCTCCCCTGCTCATGCTCACTTGCTCACACGCTCTCTCTCTCCCTCTCAAAAATGAATAAACATTAAAAAAAATAAAAATAAATTTAAATGTTTGGTAGAATTTACCTATGAAGCTGTCTGGTCCTGGACTTTTGTTTGTTGGAAGTTTTTTGATTACTGATTCAATTTAATTGCTAGTAATTGATCTGTTCAAATTTTCTATTTCTTTCTGATTCAGTTTTTGGAGTGTATATGTTTCTAGGAATGTATCCAGTTCTTCTAGGTTGACCAACTTGTTGGCATACCATTTTACGTACTGTTCTCCTATAATCTTTTTATTATTCTGTGGTGTCAGTTATTTTTTTCCCCCTTTCATTTCTGATTTGATTAGTTATTTGAGTCTCTGTTTCTTTTTTTCTTTTTTTTCTTTTTGAGGAGCCTGGGCTACGCTCATCAATATTGTTGATCTTTTCAAAACTCCAGCTCTTGGTTTCATTGACCTGTTCTATGTTTTAAATTTCTGTTTCATTTATTTCTACTCGAATTCCCTTCCTTTCCTTTCCTTTTTGGTTTTATTTGTTCTTTTTCTAGCTCCATTAGGTGTAAGGTTACGTTGTTTGAGTTTTTCTTGCTTCTTGTGGTAGCCCTGTGTTGCTATAAACTTCCCTCTTAAAACAGCTTCTGCTGCATCCCAAAGATTTGGGACCATTCTATTTTCATTTTCATTTTCTCATGTGTTTTTTATTTTATTTCCTCTTTGATTTCTTGATCAAATTGATCCATTTATTGTTTAGTAGCATGTATTTAACCTCCATGTATTTGTGTTCTTTCCAGATTTTTTTCTTGTTGATTTTTAGTTTCATAGAGTTGTGGTTAGAAAAGATGCATGCTATGACTTCAGTCTTTGGAATTTGCTGAGACTTGTTTTGTGGCTGGATATGTGATCTGTTCTGGAGAATGTTTCACGTGTACTTGAAAACAATGTGCATTCTGCTGATTTTGGATGGAATGTCTGAATATACCTGTTAGATCAGCTGCCCCAGTGTGTCATTCAAAGCCACTGTTTCCTTGTTGATTTTCTGTTTACATGATCTGTCCATTGATGTAAGCAGGGTGCTAAAGTCCCCACTATTTTTGTATCCTTATCAATTGCATCCTTCATGTTATTAGCTGCTTTATGTATTGGGGTGTTCTATGTTGGGTGCATAAATATTTACAATTGTTATATCTTCTTGTAGGATTGTCCCCTTTATTATTACATACTGTCCTTCTTTGTCTCTTATTACAGACTTTGTTTTAAAGTCTATTTCGTTCAATAAGAATTGTTACCCTGGCTTCCTTTTCACTTCCATTTATGTGATAAATGCTTTTCCATCCCTTCACTTTCAACCTGCAGGTGTCTTTGGGAATGAAATGAGTCTCTTGTAGGCAGCATATAGATGGGTCTTGCTTTTTTATCCATTACGTCACCCTATGTCTTTTGATTGGAGCAAAATGGATTGCGTCCATTTACATTCAAAGTAATTATTGATATGTATGTACTTACTGCCATTTTGTCACTCCTTT